CCTCTTCCAGCGGGGCTGAAGCCCCCCTGCGGCTGGCCAGCCAGCGGCTGCAGGCAGCATGCGTGCTTAATGCTGCAGCTTGTGCCATATGGACCTTCTCCTCCTCCCCGCTTGCCCTCTCCATGTCTCCTTCCCCGCTCTGCTCCCCTCCCCCTGTGAGCGGTTTGACAGAGCAATTGGGCAGGCACTGGGACGGCAGCTCTGACATAAATCTCTCCCGGTGTGGAATGAGGGGTATAAATATCCAGAGAGTGATGTGATCTTTCCAGCTGCTATTAATAGGTCCCTGGAGAACAAGAGCGAGCGAGCGAGACTGGCTGACACTTAAAGGGCTAGCAACTCCCTTATGTGCTGTGAAAATTAATCAGCGCTGTGGCTCACCATCTTCCTCCAGGCTAGAGCAGAGCCCTCGCCGAGGTGCGCGTGGGGAGGAGGCGGAGGAGGAGAGAGCCACTAACGACTCGCTAGTTAGGCAGCGGCGATAGGCCAAGCCATGCACCGTTGATCCCACTAACTAGCTAGGAATGCCTGGGTGGGCTGCGCGATGGCGCGGCTTGTGCAGGCTGCTCTGGTCGGGCGCCGCGGTGTGCCAGCCAGCCGCCGGCTCAGCCTTGCCTCGCAGGGAGGCAGGTGCCACGCAGTCCCTTGTGCGGGCAGGGAGCTCCCTGGCAGTGGATGGCACGCTGCAGCCTGCGCCTTGTGGCGGTCGCCGTCTTTTGGGGATTACAGGTCTGCCGGGAGTGCTTTGCTCTTCGCTTGCGTGCCATTCTGGGTACAGCGTTTAGCCCTAGCAGAGCGAGCGGTTGGCTTTTGCCGGTGGTATGTCTTCAGGCCCGCCTTCGGCAAGCCAGGAGCAGCGTGTGTAGTGCTGCTGAGCTCTTGCGGCGCTATTTAGAGACGAGGGGTTTGGTCTGGAGCCGGTGCTTCCTGTCCCTGGGTGGCAGGAGAAATCTGTGCACAGCATCTGGCCTGCTCGGTCCAGATGGGAGGAGCAGACCATAGGCCCTGTAACCCCTGTGTGCCGGGAAATGGCTCTGCCTGTGCACAGGAAAGGTTCTTGAGTGCGTCGGAGGGGGGTGTCATGCAAAGCATGTAGCAGGCGTAAGCAGAGAGTAGTGCCTCAGCTTCCACAAACGTGTTGTTTACTCTCCTACCCCCTGCCCCCCGAGAAGTAGAGAAGACTGTGACGGACGGGTGTGTGTGTGGGGGGTCTCTGCAGTTTTGGGGTCACTGGCTGGGGGAGCGAGGAGGCTGTAGCCGAGGAACGTGGTGCCCTGATGCAGTAAGAGTTACGTGCCGTAGATGAAGAAAGCTGGGAGTAGTTCTCATGGGGACGTGCATCTTTCTGCACTGGGACTGTCTCCGAGGGCTTGGCAGTGAATGCGGTTCAGGCCAGGAAGAATCAGTGTGTAAGAGCCGTGTCCAAAGGTCAGGGATGTCCTCTTCCTGCTCCAGTAGCCCCTGAGGTAAGGCTGGCTGATGTCCCGCACTGCCCATGCCACGTTGAAGAAGGCTACTTACTGCAGGTGGGGAGGTACTCATAGGCCAGGAGGGCTGCGCCCTGCAGTTAGCAGGGTCGTCTGTTGAACTGAGGGTTGGGAGCATCCTTCCAGAACACACGGTGTGCTCAGGTACTGTGGAGCCGCATCCCAGTCATGTCATGTCTAATGCCCGTGTGGAGCTCCGAGGGGAAGAATCCCAGCATGAGCCTAAGAGATTCTGCCAAGGCGAATAGATCCTGCAAGGAGGGCTGCTGCAGCATTGCTCAGCTGCGTGCGCGTCCTCCAGCCCAGAAGCCTGCGTGCTCTGCCCTGACCGCCTCTTCCCTGGAAGGCTCTGCCTCGGCCTGCGGGGCTGTACGGAAGGCTGGGCTGGGTCTGGAGCGGGAGAGCCTCACCCTGCCACCCCAGCAGAGCTGCCGCACGTTGCATCATCCTGCTGGGCTGGGAGCTGCTGCTGAAGTGGATGCTCCCTCTCACCCAGGACATCGGAGCGGGAGCCGGGGTGGTCCTTCAGGAGCTGGAATGGTCCCTCAGGCCCCTGGGATATGATACCGCTTAGCTGATGAGTGCCTGCACTTCCCGGCTCTGCCCTTGCCTTGTAACTCACCGCCACCTTCTCCTCAGCTGCCTCAACCTTCTTAGTCCTCCCCTGCCCCATCTCAGCTTTTTCTTTATAGGCTTGCATCAAGACCATTTTCTTGTCTGCTCCGTTGTCTCCTGTGTGTTTTGCAAAGCAGAGGAAACTTACTTAATTACAGAGGGGGGTCCCTGTAAACCAGTAGGGCACCGAATTTCTGTTCAGGGTCACAAAGATGTCTGAGCTCTGGGAACACCTGGAAAAGAGCTCCAAGGATCCGTCCCGCTCACCAAGGGCCAGGCTGGCATGGAGCACCCTGTTCTCGTCACGGCCTCGGAAATGAGGACCCCGGTGTCTGCGCCTGTGCCTTGGAGCGCTGGCAACCCCGCCGTGCCCGGGTGGGAGTTCACTGCTGGTCCGCATGCAGCTCACTGTGGAGCAGGATCGTTGGCTCGAAGGGGCCAGGGCTAATTGCCAGCAGGAACGACTCTGGGTTGTGCCTTGCCGCAGGCTTTGTCTGGCCCTGCGACCAAGCCCGTGCCCTGGCCCGGGGCAGTGCCCCCGGCAGCTGCGCACACACAAGAGGCACCACCATGCTCACTCGCTGCCCTCTTCTCTTGCAGGTTTCTGACCGAAGGGCCTGGGAGCTCCCTCCACTGGCGCTGTGGGAAGCTTTAGCCAAACCAATGCACCCTGACAACAAACTGCCCAGCCATGGCAAGGCAGGCAGCACCGGTGCCCCGGCCCAGCACCACAACGTGAGCCAAGCACCCACCTGCAACCTGGGCTCTAAGGGTGTGGGGACGGGCAGCCATGGCAGCAAGGCCACTCAGATCTCCCCTGGCAACTCTGGACTGAAAAACAGCCAGAACACTGTCCCAAACTTCAGCTCCTTGAAGGGCAAGGTGAAACGGGAACGAAGCATCTCGGTGGACTCCGGAGAACAGCGAGAAGCCAGCACCCCTTCACAGGACGCAGAATCAAAAGGTAATGCTCTCCTAAACTTTGCCTCAGCACGTCCTCCTCGCAGTTGCTCCAAGCGTCCTGGCAGGACCTGGGATGGGAGCAGCTGTGAGCATCTTGGGTTTCTGTGCTGCAGCTTCTGTCCGGGCTTGTCCTGGCTGCTTCTGCGTCTTTGCATCACTACTTGTCACATCCACGGTTTTGGGACCAGAGTGGCTGAACATTGTCTTTTACGTTTCTTCCCCTAAAGTGTTTGTTACACCAAGAATCTGGGACTCTGGTTTCCATGGGCTAAGCTAAGCAAGACCGTGGTTCACTGAAACAGCACCAAACACCTCTGCTTTGCAGGGTGCAGACTTTCCACTTGGGACCGAGTTGAGTTGTTTTCTGTCTCCTTGCTGTTGGCAAAGAGCTGCCTTTGTGGTGTTCTTGCAGCTGCCTGACGACTCGGTCGTGGTTAGCGAGGAGGTGCTGTGAGGGTCGCTGTCTGAACAGTTCTGTGGTTTCGTCAGCGATGGATGACTCTTGTGTTACAGCACGTGGCTTCTGGAAAAGGGCTGAGTCAGTGCTTCCAAACCCTCTGGCTTCCCTGTCCTCACCAGCCTTCCCTGCAGCCTCTTGCGTTCCACCCAGCTCTGTGCTCAACGGCTGCACGGGGCGCACGAGCATCTTGTGGGGGGTTGTCAGAGGAGAAATCCCAGTGGCGCCCTTTGTTGCAACCAAGACTCACACACGGCCACCCGAAGTTGCAGTCCCCCAAATGCAGAGCTGCTGTTCTGGCTCTTGCCCCTAAGCATTCGGTTTCGCAGCCAAAGCTGTGTTGCCTGACTGGCGTAGGCCAGAGCTGTGCCTTGGAAGAACGGGTAGAACATACCTGAACAGACCTCCTGCCCCCAGGAAAGCTTTCTCCCAGTTGCGTTGAGGGGTTACTGTATGCCGCCAGTCATGAGCATTTGCAGCTTTATCCCAGTACTTGCGTGTAGCCCAGACGTCCACAGGAAAATTACTAAAATGGCTGTATCAAGAATGCCCGAATCTCCTTCGTTCCTGCTGCAGTGCACTGATAGGTCGTGTGACTATGGCCTGGAAACCATGAGGTGATGTAAAAAAGGGAGGCCAGACTGTTAGAGTAGAGTCAAAGGACAGGACTGGAAGTTATCCACCCTGTGTCTGATCCCTTTCCCTGAGTTGCTGGGTGCCTTTAGACGAGCTGCGTCTTCTCTGAGCTGCTTCAGCCCCATGTAAGAAATGGAGGGAGCACCCAAGTTTACAGAGGGCATAGAGGCCACTGCCTGATTGATGTCTCTGAAGGGCAGAGTCTATCTCGTTCCTACAAAGAATGTGAATGTCCCCTCCCGTGCCATTTCCAGGTTTTAATTGCTAAATCACAGACCCCTTAAATTTCGGCTTAATACCCAAAGCTGTCCGGTTTGGAAGCGCAGTTGGACACGTTCTGTGTTTGCAGGCTCCTTTCAGACAGTGAGAAATACATCTCATTCTGCATCGCTTGCTCTCACAGGGGAGTCTCACCAGGTCTGGCTGCAAAGACAAGGAGCCCGGACTGAGCAGGTGCTTCAGGCCTCTACCAGGGCTGGGCAGATGTCGGTGCAAGGCTTCTCGCCTGGCACATCCTGGCTGGCTTGGCAGTGCCGGCGTGCAGCACACAGCTGGGCAGGGCCGCAGCCTTCCCAGTCCCTGCCAGGTCTCCGCAGCTCTTCTGATGGCTCTGTCCCTTTGCAGGTGAGGTGGCTCCCCGTAGCAAGCGGCGGTGCGTGCTGGAAAGGAAGCAGCCATACAGTGGGGACGAATGGTGCTCTGGGCCGGACAGCGAGGAAGACGACAAGCCCATCAGCAGTGCACACAGTGAGCGTCTACCTCCTTACCAGCTCAGAAGCTTGAACAAAGCCAGGTCCCTCCTGCAGCTCAGCAGGGCAGATGGCGCTGGCACCTCTGGCTTTGCCTGTGCGTGCTGACTTAGCCGGGCACGCGGCATGGTGGGCCATCGCAGCTGGCGGTCTTTGTGCTGCGAGAGTGCGTCTGGCGATGCAGTGAGGCGTCGGACCCATTTTGTGGAGATGCTGCTGAGGTGCTGGAGGGGACGGTGTTGAGGTTGGGTGTCCCCGCTGTACGTCGCTCTGGCCGCACTAGCGGCAGAATGGCCATCTTGAAAGTGTGTCTGGCTTAAATCTGGTTAAGCGTGCCTACCGTGGTCATAGCGTCAGCCAGACCACACAGCATGCACTGCCCTCGTCGCAGCCGGAAGTCTGTGCCAGGCCGTCCGCCTGGCTCTCCACAGCTCTGCTCTAAAGGCAGTGGGAGGCTAAAGAGGCTCTTGGGGTCTTGACAGCGGTTCTGGCAGGGCTGAGCCGGCCAAGGTGTGCACCCTTTGGGGTGACAAACTGTAGGTCTCTCCCGATTTCTAAAAGCATCCAGACTGAGATTTTTTATTTTTTTTTTTTTGGCATCTAGAATTCGGTTTCCTTTCAAATTGCAGCAGGGAGAATATCTGAGAGGACGGGGCTAGGTCCTGTGGGCCCCAAGGGCCACAGCTGATGGAAGCGTATGAAACCAAGTAGAGGGTGGCCTTTATGCCTGCCGGTGCCCCCTAGCCATCCTCTCCAGGACGTTCTCTTGTGTTTCTCTGCGCAGTTCACAGCCCCTGTGGGAAGGGATAGTGCCGCATCCCTGTTGGAGCCTGCTCCGAAATCTACCTAATTAGAGCAGGTCAAGGTGGGGCTGTCCAGGCAGCGCCTGCGTCCCCGCACCAGATGCCCAGTGGCATTTCTTCTCTTTAAATGGTGCTGTGCTAGGGCTGGGCTGCTGCCGCTGGAGCTCAGTAGGTGTGCGGGGAGGAGAGGAGGCGAGCCTGCCTTGGGCGCAGCGCGTGCGTGTGTGTGCGAGGAGCTAGGCAAGAGGAAGGCACTGCACGCCTCTGGTAACTTCAATGCTTATTAGTATTACTTAAGAATATTATTTAACAACAGCTGACAATTAATAGTCACCGCCTCGGTGGACAGCATCCCCTCCTGCCCCACTCCTCGGGGCAGGAGAGTGTCGGCCCCTGCAGGGGCACGGGCAGGCGGCGGGGGGGACGGGCAGGCGAGTGCTGCCACCTCCCGGTGGCCCGGCCGGCGGCGTCTCTGCCCGTTCCCCGCAGGTCTTTGCCCCGGCTCCCTCCCTGCCGCCCGCTCCTTCCCCGGGAGCCGCAGCAGAGGCGGCCCTTTAGGCTGTCGCGCCGCGCTGCCTTCAGCCGCTTCTCCCCTCTGCTCCCGCAGACTGTAATGTAGCAGATCCTGCGATGTCCACCGCCTCACAGCTTGGCCCAGGGTCCAACCCGCTGCCGAACCTGAATGAGACCACTTCTTCCAGCGTGCCTCATGGTGCTGCCCCCGGCTTACGGTCAGACGCTGCAGGAGGTGGAGGCGGCGGAACAGGAAAGCAGCCCTCGCAGTTCGTTTACGTCTTTACAACGCACCTTGCTAACACGTAAGCAGTAAATCCACCCGTCCGTCCTCCGCAGGCCCGGGGCCCGCCATACCTGCCTGCTGCACTCGAGTACGAGAGAGCTGGACAGACCCATGTCGCTTTGGTTGCACAGAGTGGGTCCCCCCTGAGGTTTAGGAGGTTTGCTGGCAGCTACTGCTGGTGGGCAAACTTTGTCTCAAATGCACGCTTCCTCCCAGCGATGCCCAGCACCGCATTCTGCAACGCGTGCCGTTGAGTACACCTGGTCAGCACCCAACACAGAAAGTCACCCAAAGCAGTACGGACTGCTGCTCTGATTCGGAAGTATCCGAGGGGCTGGGTGTCATGGGGAGTGGCGTGTTACACTTGGTGTCCTCCGCTCGATTCCTCCCTTTTGTTGTGCATCGTCTCAGCCGTGGAGTCTTAGCAAGGCTGTTTAGTGTTAGAGCTCTGCTATACCGCAGGCTGGGCGTGGTAGATCCCAGAGCATCTCAGTGATGGCCACCTTAGACCAGCAGTAGGCACGAGGCAGAGCCGAGTGCCCATCACAGGAGGTGGGAGGAGGGAAATCCAGGGCAAGCAATCATCAGTTGGAGAACCTCACTGGCACCTGTGCAAGACAGGCGGGAGGACTCTGAGAATATCCCCCCTTGTTGGTGACCTCCAGAGATTTCCCTTTTTCCATGGGACTGAAGCACGGAGGTGGCACCTGGGGCCTGGGATGGGTGGTATGGGGTACAATGCCTGTTCTTGAGCAGTTTGTGCTCTCTCCCCAGAGCTGCGGAAGCTGTCCTGCAGGGCCGAGCTGACTCTATTCTGGCCTACCATCAGCAGAATGTCCCGCGTGCAAAGCTAGACCAGGTATACCAGCCATGAACCAAATGCTTCTGTCGGCACATGCTGCTGAGGGACCATTCCCTTCTGAGGTGGCTGTTGTCCCCCCGGCTCTTGGGTCAGCTGAGGAGGAAGGGGCTGTCAGAATGCCCTTTCAGTGGGGTGGGAAGCTGCTTTGCTGTGGAACCTCTTCGGAGTGAGTCCTGGCTGCTGTCAGCTGTGAAAGGTTTGGGATCGGGCCCTGCAGCCACGTGGGCAGAACACCTGATCGTGCCTTTCCAGGGCCTGCTTCTTCCCCGCGAGGAATGAAGGTGAACTGCCACGGGGCATGTTTTTGGGACAGAGAGGTCTCCTGCGGGATGCAGGGAAGAATGTCTACCCAGGGTTTTTCCTGCTCACGTTTATTTCCCTTTTCTCTGCCAGGCGCCAGCTCCTAAAGTGCTGGGGGTTGCTGAGCCGCTTCCGATTAACCCTCCTGCTGCCAACACTCCACAGTCCCAGCCACCGGCACCGCAGGCGAGTCAGCCGCAGCCTCCCCCGCCGCAGCCTCCACCTCAGGCCATCACCCAAGCACCTTTGCCAGCATCCAGCAGCCTGCCCCAGGAAGGCACAAGTGAAGATGTCCGGAGAGATCTGACTCCCAACTCTTTGGGGAACAACAGCGGCGGCAACCAGCCTGGGAGTAACCACCCAAACACGCCCACCGCGTCTGCCAACACCATGCAGCCTGGGCAAGTGGACTCCTCCGCCACGTCTGGCTCCGGCCTCCTCGGGGAGGGCCCGGGTCCAGGGATGCCGGGGAACGGGCAGGCAGGCCTGGGCCCCAGGAACCCCATGAACTCGGAAGGGCTCTCGAAGGAGCAG